TATATATATATATGTATGCATGCATGCATGTATGCATGTATGTATATATATATACATGTATGTATGTGTATATATATACATATGTGTGTGTGTGTGTGTGTGTGTGCGTGTGTGTGCGTGTGTGTGTCTATGTAGATACATACATATGTATGTATGTATGTAGACACACACACACGTCTATATGGGTAGACAAAATGTCACTGATAAGCTGGTGTGACGAAAACCGCACATCAGTCAAGGCAGAACAATCATTACCAAAAATAAAAAGCTACATTTTATTCATTTCTTTTATTTAATTACAAAAATGAGGGGTACTTTACACTAATCCCACAGATACAATTAGGAAAGAAAAAACTAAACATGTTTATCGTTCTCGGCTTCTTCAGAGGTAAAACCTCGGTGATGCGGCTATTTGTACATAAATTCACCACTAAACTTGAAGAGGACATTTTGACTATCCCTTGGCTGAGCGGCAAGGCCCTCTTTGTGGTCAATAGCTCCAGACATAGGAACGTCATCTCCTCATGGGCAACAAGCATCTCTCCCCAAAAAATAGTAAACTCCTCACAAAGTGTAACAACAACATTTTCCACCTAGCCGACTCTCTCTAGGACTTCAACAACTCCTTCGTTGTTATCTCCCCAGGGATATGCCACAAAATGAATGAAGCGTTCCTCTATTTCAGCAAGAAGATACCTTATGAAGTCGGAAGAAACCCAAAACCCTCCAATTACCTCCTCTTCCCTCGTTGCGCCGGAATAAACTAGAAAACCCATGTTATTGCCCTCACTGAGTGATAAGTTCTCCATCCTTTGCGCCACAACACCTTGTTCCAAAGTGACTACTCCCCCCACGGTGATTTTTTCAACAGCAATCAGATCAAGGTTAGCATCAGTATCTGTTAATATAGAATCAACCGTCAAGATTTATATTACTACATCTAGGAAGAATAAGTATTCAAGAAATAATTTTTTGTCGCATACCCAAAAGATGGTTCTAATTAGATGTGATATAAAAGGTAACAGCTTCACCAACCTTCTTCGACTCTCCTCTCGTGAAAGAAAGACCCCCTTTTGGCTGCTTGAACGATGTTCTCATTCCGGATGTCGCTTCATCCAGATCACCTTGAGGAGTTGTTTCCCCTGCAATGGTATGGGCCAGCTTCCTTTGCCTCCAACAGAAACAACAACCTCTATTATATAATAAGTGAGGGGGTCGCCTGGATGAACTTCAAACCCTATCTAGTTTAATCCCTACGATGAACCCTCAAGGAGATCGAGGATCCGACCCGGTCCCTATGATCATCGGTCCCATATTGGTCTCTTCTAAGTCATCTCACCTACATGAACTTCGCTCACTTGTTTAAGCATTGTACATGGTTTACGAGCCTTCACTCGCTTGTCACTCATAGTTATAAGAAGGAAGTTCTTGTCAGCAAATGATGCTCCTCCGCCAAAAATAGTAGTGGATACGGAAGAGAGAAGACACTAGATCTAAGGAGCGATAACAGAAAGGGAAGGCACAAACTTCTTATATCCCATGACTTATTTATTGGGGTCTAGGCACGAAAATTTAGGAAATTCTATTATTATGCAATAATATCATTTAATAATTTCTTACATATTAAAAAAGATTCCATTGTCCTTATGTGTTGTGTAGCTTTCAATGAGCAAGATAATAATTGAACTAAATATTTATACAAAAATCATGTCAACACAAATCTCAAGCTAGATAGACGCGACCGATCAAATATACCTAATCGGTGATCGACGAATTGATTTCTATCAAGGGAGGCGTTTGGATCGAGCGACCGGAAGAACGTGAAGGAGGATTTCCCACAATACGATGATCAACCATAAGACTGATCGATAGTTACTAGCTTCGGATCAAGTACCGATGGAGTCAAGGTGGGGTGATCAGCCGACGAACTTCTTACCGACCAATATCAATCCTCTAGTTTTATTACATTTAAATATCTTTATAATTACTAAAAGGTCCTTTTGAAGACTAATGATAAGTGATAGATCTGTAATTTTGTAAGACCAGGGCATATTCCTATAAATATGGGGGTATATATCATGAATAAGGGGCTACACATTATAACTGTTCTTCACTGTACTCTGCTATTTTTTCCTTCAAAACATTCTATTACTTAGGTGAGTTTCTTTGACACTTCTAAATTTATTAAGTTAATATTAAATTTGTTACAATGGAGTTTTGCCATATTATTTCTAGATAATTAAATATATAATCTTCAAATTTGTCATTTGTTTTGGAATAATGAAACTCTTATTTTTACACATATTTGTGGATGTTACAATCAAATAATATCAATAGAAATTAGAAATTATACTGATTATTCTATTTTATAATTTTAATTTTTTTAAAAAAAATAAAAATTATTAAAATATTTTAATAAAATTATTCTTTTAAAAAAATATCAGCCTAAAATATGATATATGCAATTCGAACAAACGATCTTACAATAAAAATTTATACCCTCAATGGCTATAATACCCAGAAATACAGAAAAATATTGCATCAGGACTCTGCACGTAAAGTTACGTGCGGAGTCTAATGAAATCACGTCACGTAGAAAAAAAGATTTATTCGGTAACACAATGGAATATTCCTCCAGTGTTATTCAGATGTTATTGTGTGTTATTCAAGTATTATTGATATGTTATGATTTTATTATAACGCAGGGATAACACGATGAAAATATTCCATTTTTTTACCGGGCCAATCACCTTCACGCCTGATTTTATTAAATTTCGCACGTAATTTTATATGTGGAGTCCTGATAAATTACGTGCGACATCCTATGCAATATTTTCTCGAGAAATACAGATCAGCAATCCTCTTTATTCATTCCAGTTCATTCAAGCGAAGAAATCTGAGCCTTCATGCTTTCCTGTCATCGACCCCCTCATGTGATCGGCACGTTCCCATGTCACCCAAGCAGGGAATGGATCACGTGACCATCCATTAAAAAGAAAAAAAAAATCAAACGTGCAGAAAACTGGTCCAATGATTTATTGGAGTAAAGCTTACCGTCCGACACGTAACGTGCCAGCCAAATTCAATAAAGGAACACTAACAAACGGCGACAATTAACGATCGACGTCAGCGGACGTTATACTCGTTGTATATGGCAGCGTTCTCCCTCTGGCGGCGGAGCTCCAAGACCTTGCGGTGAGAGTTAGAATGCTGCGTTAGAACAAAAGTAGGACTTGCCGCCGGCCTGTACTCCGGCACAAGCCGCCCGGACTTGAATCGCACCCCGCAGGCGTTGCAGAGCGATTTCGGCCCGAGCGGACCGGTCCGCCACTGTGGCGTCTTATCCGATGCGCAGTGAGTGCACCGCCGCATCCCTCCGCCGACCGCCTCTGTATCTGCCGCTCCCTGTTTCTTCCTGTTACAAATTTTGGGTGTCGGGAAGTCTGATGAACATGATGATGATGTCGTCGAGGATGAAGGCGTAAGAGACGACCAGGCTGAGGCTGGGAGGTGATTCACGCCGCCAGATTCAGCACCGGAGATCATGCCGCGGGATCTCTTGCTCCTAGCTCCTCGTGCTACTGCGGATATGCCGGTCCGATGGATGGAGTTGGCGACCACTGTCTCCATTGCGAGAGATTGGACCGGTACGTCAGAGAAGGAATCCTCTACGAATTTTGACAGCCATTCCAGCTCTGCTACTTCATCAGTCTGCAACAAACAGAAAACAGATATGAATTGAAACCTTATGAATCTTCAAATGTTTATAACGCCACAAAAAAGTCTGACAATGGCTCAATAAGATTGAAAAATAGTATTTAAGTCATGGGCTATGATAACCCTTAAAAGCTCCTTTTCCCCAATTGTTACAACATTTTTATAAAATGTAACTTAAAATTTGAACCGAACAACGCCAAAATATTACCCTAATTTTTTTTTTATCTCAGTGTTATGGTTAGTCACATCTACTACTTTTTATTATTTTTATATTTATAGAAAATTTAGATGATTTTATGAAATATTAATAAGGTAGCAGAATATTTTTTTTCAGTAGTTTGGTCATGGTTAATCTTCTTGAGATAGTTGTTGGTATATGTTCTTTTGTATTTGAAGCTCCCATTTTTTAAACTATGTTCTGAGACAATAGTTCAATATTATTTTATTTTATGAAAAATACGACATTTTTTTAAAATTATAAAATAACAAGTAAAAACTATAAAATGATTATATTAAAAATTTAAATTAATCGTTAAATCTAAATAACATCAAGATTTTATAAAAATCAAAACACAATTTTTGAAATATAGAATAACAGTAAGGAATAAAATGACTAATTTAACTTTATCAATTGAATGTGCTCTCTCTCTCTCTCTATCTCTATAGCCCTTGCAAAAGAAATTTTTAAGAATTTTTTATAAACAAAATTATTTAACTCTACACTAATTTTACATTTAACTTTCGAATCTTAATATGATTTGCTTGAAAGAACGATTGCCACTTGGTTTCACAAACTGCTTACTGGTATGTAGATATCGTCAGCGATTGAGGCATGGTGTGGATAATGGCATTCGGGATTAGAATTAATGTCAGCAACGGCGAACTGCGCTGCGGTAAGGAGGCTAGCGTCAGCAGAAACCAAAGAGGAGGAAGAAGAAGATGATGAGTAGATGTCATGTTGGGTGAAATCAGGCAGGGTCTCTGCGGCGGTTAGCCTCCCGTATATATATGCCGGCGCGGGTACCGTGCTGAACGCCGCTGGCATCCCCATTCCCATGCCTAACTCAGTCTCCCATCGCGACGCCATCTCAACTAGTATGAAAACGAACGAAGAGCAGGAAAGTCTGTGTGGAACTAAAAGGAAAGAGGGAGGCGTGGGATGCAGAGCAGGATATAAGTATAAATAGTGAGAGGTGAGAAGAAGGAGACTGTAATTTGCAAGCAAAGGGGGAAAATTAATTTTTTTATTACCGGTTAAGTGAGATTAGTTATTTTTCAATATTTTATCGTGTAAGAGATGTGGCCGTGCTGCGCTGGTTTCCCACTTTCGAGAGACAGAGAAAGCAAAAGTCATTCTTTTATGTGCTGATTCCATTTTCTTCATATGGTAGCTCTGCTTTTATTTTGGTCCAGCTGGTCCAAAGAAAAATTGTGCAGTTTACGCGTACCATGAAGGATGAAATGTTTATAATTGTTGATGGCGTTTATGAAAGTATTCATTTATTTTGGTATAGAAGTCATCTGCTGAGGAAATGAATGGCAACACAGAATGCGATTAAGATTGTGGCCCGGTTGTATATGAGGGATTTGTGTGAAGTACACCTCATTTTTGTAATTAAATAAAAGAAATGAATAAAATGTAGCTTTTTTATTTTTGGTAATGATTATTCCGCCTTGACTGATGTGCGGTTTCCGTCACACCAATCTAAACAATGACGTTTCATCATCTTATACATACGTGTGTGTGTGTGTGTGTGCGCGCGCGCGCGCGCATGTACACACACACACACACACACACATATACATATATAGATAGATACATATATCTATATTTATATGTATATATATATGTGTGTATGTATATGTACCTGTAGAAGTTTATGAGTATATGTATAGGTATATACACATCATACAAATATATGTATATGTGTATATGTATGTATGTATATACATACATACAAATATCCATATATATACATCCATATATATAGGCATGCATATATATATATATATATATATAGATATAGATATGATCCATATATCTATCAACAAAAAAGCCTCATAAAAGAGGTCATTAAACTACTTTTTCTTCATACTACCTGTTTCTTTGATAAGCGTCTCTGTGAGGTTGCACTTGAAATGATTCCAGCTGTTCCAGCTGATGCACATCAGCAGAAAACACATTTTCAGTTTTTCTTCAACACAAGTTGAACCGGCGGTTCAAGAACCAACTAGACAAGAGGCGGTTCATCTCCGAACCAAGCCGAGAAGAGCTTACTGCTTACCCCATTGGGGGTGTTCGACATTTATTCCCATGTGTTAATAGTTGTAGAGAGAGAGGAAGGGTAGTGGAGACCACTGCATGGCTCAATTTTGAGCCCTCCAAAGCCAAGAAGTTGGCAGGCCTGTTGGCTTCCCTGTAGTTAAAATTGATTTGAAACTTGATCTCAGTGATAATTTTCCTTATTCTGTAAATCCACTGATTTATGTGCCAAGGGGGGGAAGAGGTGGCAGTGACTAGCTCCACCAGATTGAAGAGTCCACTTCAGCAATAATACAATTTCACTTGACTTCCTTAGCAAATTTAAGGGCCCAATGAAGAGCAGTAGCTTCTATTTCCAAGACATCTTCAGCAATGTAGGGGGCCTTAAAATAAAGCAAAACTTTGCTTGTGTGATCTCTGAAAATATCTCCAATACCAGCTTTCTTGTTAGTGAGGCCCCCATCAGTGTTTATTTTAATGAAAATATGAGGAGGCTTCTCCCATCTAACCTTAATAACCATAGGGTGTTTGGGATCAATATTAGGCATATCCTTCAATATCTTAGGGAACTTCTTTCAATTAATCAGCTTATGTAAATAGGCCTGGAAGTTAGCTACCACAGAATCAGAAGAAGAGATAATGTCTTCATGCTTCACCTTGTTCCTAGCATTCCAAAGAAACCATGCAACAATGAATGGAAGAGGCATCAAATTAATT